AAAAGCTTGATATCCCTAGAATTTTGAATATGTTCTTGAGATGAGCAATATACATGCTAAATATCAGCCATACCTCTTACATTTGAGAAGTTAAATCTAATTGGTCATTATGACATACTTAGAAAAGTAGGTCAAAGGTAAAGTTCATGGTCATTAGGTCAGTAACCCTGGTATTTTACAAAAGACTTGTACCAAGCAATACTTGAGCAAAATATCAAATTCCAATCTCAGATCCTGGGGTGTAATTTAACGGACAGACTGATTTTGGGGAAAGTGATGAGTGTGACACTCTGCACTCTATGTGACTGAAAAATTATATCCCTGATTTGGTCAAATCTTTGCATAAAACAGGAACTTGCAATACAAAATCATATTTATAATCACTGTTTTCTAAGTTTAAATGATATAATAAAATTTAGTTTCAATGTATACTATCTGAATTAAAAAAAAATTATTATGGAATTTCCTGAATGTTTTAATTCTCCAATATGGTTAAATTCACACTATCATGGAATTAAATTACTGGAAATGAGCAGTCAAGAAGAAATAAGACTATAACCATTGGGTTCATACAATTTCACAAATAGCACACATTCTAAAACAGCAACCAAATTAAGCAGTTATGCTAAAATACCACAATTAAGCTCTTGGTATTTTGGAACTAGACATTCAAGATTTTATAATTAATATTATTTTCCAAGGGACTGCCTCATTGCAGATGCTTTCATGCAATTCATTTGGCTAATTGCAGCAAATGATAATTAGATTTATGTCCACATAAAAAATTCTTTGTTTCAACTTGAGGCCACATTATAGCCGTCCTATAAATACTTCAATTTTTCTCTCTAATTTGATGGAATTATTACCCTTTTGCAGTCGGGCTATTAGTTTCAGCAAGAAAAAAATATTTATATGGGCTTAATTTTTCTTGCAATGTTAAATAATAATAGCATGCAAATGTGTGAATTAAATGCTTCTCTGAACTAAGACTCATGCATCTATAATGTAAATATGTGTGTATAAAACAGATCCTGACTCATTCAGTCCATCATCTACAATTCATTTAATGTCCTCATTATTTACAATTAAAACATATAAAATATATTCCCTGACAATTTTATTTTTGTGACTAAGTGTTTTTACTGAAATTGGTGGCAGACAGTTTGCAATAGGTTTTTCACCAAATAAGACAATAAAAAATCTTTGTATTAATGTTTTGCATAGCTTTTAGCTTTTTTCTGGGATTAAAATATTATGCTAGAAAATACTGACTTAAGTGAAAGCTTGTGGCCCAGTGCTCTGTAGACGCAATTATCTATTACCTTGACCTTCAGATATGTAGAGTTGCTTTTAGTGCATTAGTCTTTGTTGCATTTAAGAATGATTTTTAAATCTAGCATGGTCACCTTCAGATAAGAGTAAATATCCAATCCATTTGATACATATTCTTGTCTTCTTGTGTACACTTATTTGGATCATTTCAAAGATAACAATGAAACAATTTATCCTAGAAACTAACAGAAAATATTTTCATAGGCTCTGCTGTGCAACATTCAAAGAAAATGATAAGTCTCCAAAAGATGTCATTTTATGCGACATAGATAGGTAACCCTCTAATGAAATGAGTTTTTAAAAAAAAAAAAAATGTAGACATTGCTAGAAAGTAAAAGCTGTTCATATTTCTAGCTGGTCAATGGGATAGGGTGACAAATGAAAGGTTGTCAGTTTGATACAAAGTATGACATCTCTTTCATTGCATTCATTTTATCTCAATTTACACAGTCTCCCCATCTATATAAATGGGCACCTGCTTTAACTATTAACCACTTAATAGGATTTTTTTGTTTTTCTTCCCAGTGGAACTACCAGTGTCATTCAAAAACTAACTATATATACTCAACTATTTCTTCAAATGTTGGATTTCCTCTTTCTCTTTATTTCTCAGATATTTTACATTTTTCTATTGAAATATTAGTATACGGGAAAATATTTCTGCAAATTTTTAGGGAAGAGTTTCTTTGAAAATGACAGCTCAAATGACTTTTTGAAGACATAGATGAATTACTTAGAAATTTAACTATGTTAAAATGAGTTAAATTCAAAACCATGATGTTAAAAAATTGATAAGTCTCTTTGTTAGTTTTTTAGCTGTTTAATTTGAATTCATAGCTAGTTTTTATATTGCCAAAATACTGTGATCATAAATAGATATTTGTTTTCAGTAATGTTTGTTTCACCGACAAGTGTTGAAAACTTGACTTTATTTTTATTTCATCAACTTTTTTTAAGGATTATAAAACATATTGATATTGTTGCTAGGGACAAAGTAAGTTGTAAGTAAAATTTGAAGTTTAATCTGCTATGAATGCGTTCATGAAAAGACTTTAGATTTGTCATAAGAGATTCTTAAGTTAAAATCTTAAACCAAAACTTCAGATTTTTTTTGAAAATTAAGGGCTACAGAAACAAAAGTGTTACCAATAGACAGAATGAAGGACAGACATACAAATGGACAAACTCAAATTAATATCTCCACTTTTTGGCAAATTTTAACTCTTGTTAGAATTTATATAGAAGATTTTATTAATTGGCTCCAAAAATGTCTTTTTAGACAAACTTTATCCACTATTCTCTTGCGCAACAAGGCTATCATAAAACCTTCTAGGTCTGTAACACTTTAAGACTAACTAATAGCGATTCATAAACTGACAATTAATTTCATTTAATTTAAAATCTGCATTTCCTTCCTGAAATTCATTCCTGTAGGAAGTTGTATGTTCCCTTGAGCATCTCTGCTTTCGAGAGATACTGACAACTAAAAATTTTATTACCTAGACATCAAACAAATTTCACAGCAGAGAAACTGATTAAACTTCATGTAATTTTCATTTAACATAGAAATTTTGCTATTAATTAATGGACAATATGTCTGATTCTGACGATTATCTTGAAGCATTGAGCAGTGGTTCAGTTAAAACTGAACAAATAACGCATAATTTTTATATTCATTACAGCAAGTCTTAAAAATTCAATTGTGCAAACTAGAAATATGTCCACAGGACATGAATGCCCCGCCGACGGTATATTAGTAATGCAACATGAAAATTTGTATTAGTGTATGAAATTTGATGAGAATATCTTGAATAATTTCTTTAAAATTGAAATCTAAAAAGTTGGATATAGATGATAAATTCTCACCATATTATGTATAAGTGCATAAGCTTACATAAATGAATCTTAAATGGTTTCTTTAAAATTAAGCAATATGCAAAATTTAAGAAAAATGAGGTCAAGGTCACAGGAAAGTTCAAGGTCAAACATTTTTGATACAGTTGAATAGTTCTCACAAATACATATCAGCATATTAAGTTTGATAAAAATATTTTGAATGGTTTATTTAAATCTGAGCTAAACACTAATTTAAAATAAATGAAGTTAAGGTCAAAGGAAAGGTCAAGGTAAAAAAAATATTGATGCAGTTGAATAGCTCTCATCAGTATGTATCGGCATATGAAGTTTGATAACACTATAGTGAATGGTTTCTTTAAAACTGAGGTAGACACTTATTTAAGAAAAGTGAGGTCAAGGTCAAAGGAAAGGTGAAGGTCAAAAATATTGATGCAGTTGAATAGCTCTCATCAGTATGTATCAGCATATGAAGTTTGATAAAAATATCTTGAATGATTTCATTAAAACTGAGCTAAACACTAATTTAAGAAAAGAGTTCAAGGTCAAAGAAAAGGTCAAGGTCAAAAAATGTTGATGCAGTTGAATAGCTTACATCAGTATGTATCAACATATGAAGTTTGATTACATTATCTTAAATGGTATCTTTAAAACTGAGCTAAACACTAATTTAAGAAAAGTAAGGTCAAAGGAAAGATTAAGGTCAAAAATGTTGATGCAGTTGCATAGCTCTCATCATTATCTAACAGCATATGAAGTTTGATAAAAATGTCTTGGATAGTTTCTTTGAAACTGAGCTTTGAAAAGAGCTAAACGCAAAGTGCGACAGAAAGACAGACAGAAGGACAGAAGGATGGAAGGACAGAAGACGGACATGACAAACACTATATGCCCCGGCCATATTCATGGCGGGGCATAAAAAGTCTTTGTCCAGTTTTTATAAAAAGCCATGTGTACCATCCCAGTAAAAGGGTGAAAAATAATAAAACCCTGAAAAACACCAAATGAATGAAACAATATACACATTAAGAAGTATTTTAAAATAAAGCACTTTTCACATGGACTAAGACTCGGCTTGCTTCTATAAAAAGCACAGAAAACAATACTTCTGATAAAATGCATAGAAAAGGAACATTATGTAATTTTTTTTTGCAAAATCATTGTCTAAAAATCTTTGAGTGCAAATGTTAAGAGGTTAGCTTTAACCCATGACATTAAGATAAAATAATTTAAATTTCATACAAAACTTTTAACAAAATCAAGCATGATCAGTCAAAAGGTCTTGTATTCTACCATTGAGGGCTTGATGGAAGTTTTTTGATGCATGTAAAATATACTTTTTAGCATAAAATTGGAATTTTTAAAATTCATGTACCAGTGCATAATTTGAACGTCTTTACAAAAGCATTATTAACTGAAAGTTTATATGCTTAATTTTGACATTTAAGGGATAAATATTCTTGGTCATTTTTGTTAGTTTAGAAATGTCAGTGCATAAGAATCTGATAAAATTGTCTATTAACATGAAATGCAGTATTTCATTTCACAAAAACTTCCTGAATGCTCATTATGAATATCATATCTATACACAAGGTTTATCAAATTTATTTTATGCAGTGTTCATTAGGCCTACCAAGCCAGACAGTATAAAAACATAAATTAACAATAAATAACCTAAAATAGTCCTTATTTTAAAGGGGCTTTATTAATTTTTTTCTGGAAATGTTAAGTAAAAAAAAAATCAAGCCTTTGATGGAAAATGATGCCTTTAAGAAGAAAAGAGAATATTATTGATTTTAAAAGACATAGTATACCTTGGTAATTATTTCCTTCATAGCTGTTTTCATCTTCAGTACCAGATGAAGATATATTAGCAGGGTCATCCCCTAAATCAATGCAGAAAAAAAAAATGAAAATAAATCCAGGGGTCAAAATGTTAGACTCAAATAATGATCACTTTGCCATTAATTGCTTATTACATTTATACGACATGTTAAATAAAGATGAATTATTCTTCAAAGAAGAAAATTTTGCCAACAAAAAAGATGTAAATTTGCCCCTAATTTTTTTTTTTTCCAAATCATTTATTTTTTTTTTATCTGAGCATGCATTAATTCTATAAAGTTGAAGAATGTGTCTTAGAAAGATGGAATTTAAGGCACTGTCAATGAATAGGACTATACAGTCTAACTTCCTTATGTTGAACTCAACAGGACCAAGGTTAAACTTCAAGATACCGAGGATTTAAGATCATATGAGGGTAAAAGACATAAGAAAAAACTTTGATAATATCCCTGTAATCGAGATACTGGTGTTGGAGATTAAAAAAATCCAACTGCATGTACATTGTATATACCGGTATGTACTTAAACCTTCACATATTATATTGCGCTCACATAGCTCAAACTAACACATGAGAAATAAAAGACAAGTTACTTCATCCTTTCTGTCATTAAGAGAGATAAATAAGAAGATATTTT